ATACAACATGGTTTTCATCATATCCAAGTTAGATTACTCATTGTTTACCAAGGGAGCTGGGTTTTCTTTTGTGGCTTTGCTTGTCTATGGTAATGATATAATCATCACTGGACCCTCTCTTCAGCCATTCTCTTGTGGACATGTTCACTAAGCCTTTAGTTTTTCCTTCTATACACTAGTTGCTATCCAAGATGGGAGTGAAAGATATTCACTCTCCCATCTTGAGGGGGAGCTTAATAGAGTTAGTTTTTTTTTTCTAATTCTAGTTAATTTACTATAAACATAGTTAGTTTAATGGTTATTAGATTATGTTGTAGTTAATTTTGTTTTTGGTATGTTGAGTTCATTTCCTAACTCGGGATTTTTTAGTCTGAATTGAAATGAAAACTTTTGCTTCCTCTATCCTACTTTACTCTTTTCTCTCATGCAAGAAAAAGTGATCTTGAACAAAATATAAAACGAATGTCAATTGTCACAGTCACAGCAATGAATCATTGGAATCTGATTCACATACATTTTGCAAGTACCGACGGAATATACATCCTCTTGATTCGGTGAAGACAGTTTACATTGGAAGACAAAGCAAATCTACGCTCATCTTCGAAAATGAATATTTACAACTGAAGCCTGCAAGAAGTCTGTTGGACAGAAAGAGCAATAATTTTTAATATAAATTTTCATTCGTAGTTTCATTAATTTTTAATATAAATTCTAAAATGCATTACAATTTTAAGTGTTTCTGTATCAATTAAGACAAAATTATTTCATAAAGGAATTTAAAGGTTTACTGTAACCCATGTCAATATAATACATTTAAGCGAGTTAAATATTTTTTTATATGTTAGGGCGAAGTTTACATCCTAATAACAATTAAATGTCTTCAGATAAATATTTAATTATCACTGCATTAAATGTTTACTTCAATAAATATAATTAGACCACAGTTTTAAGTGACAAGTATGTTGATTGATGAGATAAGAATAATAAAATATTTCAGAGTAATTTGGCAGTATTGGTTCAAAAATGTTTGAGATAAATTATTCATATAATTCACCAAAAAAAAAAATTATTCATATAAATTTAGATTATTTTGTAACTAGTTTCAACTTAAATTTAATTTGGCTAATATTTGTTTTAAGACATTACTTATTTAATATAATTTTGAATTTATTTACATTCAAAAAACTTGGCTAAGTTTAATGATCATTGGATGAATAAATGGTTCTTATACAAGTATATTTTATTTAATAATATTCCTTAAATCTAGCTAGCTAAAGAAAGAGAACTCAAATATAAAATATACTATGTAATCAAAAGAAAATAAGGAATTTAAATAATTACAGATTTACAGGGATCAAAGACATTGACAAAAAATCGTAACAAATACTATTTGTTTTTTTAATAAAAAAAATACAATAACATCTTAAATATTTTTTTTTTAAACTTTTTTTTGGCTAAATTAAAGAGTTTAGAATCTTTACTACTTTCTAACTCTTACACTCGTGGATCATGGCTGTCATTTCAAGGATCACGATCGAATTTACAAAATATTTGAAGATGAATATCAATAACAAACTATATCCAGTATGTAGACTAATTAACATGAGTTTTATTTTTTGATACAGATCATCTATGTTATTTGTTGGAATTGGTCATATTTGATGTTTTTTGATATTAGTGACTTAAGAAAAAAAAACTATAATTCGGGAACTTTGCTGAAGTATTTCTTATTCTTTATAAGTATGATGTTCTCTTTCCAGTTTGTTATAGATAATAGCCCCTCACAATAAAATAAAATAAAATAAAATAAAAGTTAAATGACAACAACAAATTATTAGAATTTTCATATATTGGGTTTAAAAAAGTTTCATCTTTTTTGCAGTCAATGTAGATAACTTATCTACATTGAGCCCAAAATGACATCTTTTTGAGGCAGAAGTTAAGGTATTTTTGTAATTTTAATTTATTTCAGGATTATAATAGTCTTTTTTATTATAATTTTTTAATTTTTAACTTGAAACGACATCATTTTTGGAGCGAAAAAAACTAATTTGTTCTCATCAAACCTTCCTTTTTTTCACTTTCATACACAAATGGTTTGTTTTTCTTTAAAATATTTGAGTAATAACTTACATAGATTATATACATACAACATTGTATATTATCTTGGTTATGTAATATGCATGGAATTTTGATTTAATTTATAGTTAGAGATGTCATTTAATGAACCTGAAACACCAGTATCACAAATACTATATATTTGATTGATCTTTTGTTGGACAAGGATGCTTAATTTATTATTTCTCATATTAAAATATTTGAAATTCGTATCATTTTTTACATGTATTTAAGTATATTTATAGTTTTTTTAATATAAATTATAGATTTATATATATTTAACGGGTCGGCAAAAAAATTAAAATAATGTTTTTTAATTAAATAATTATGCATTTATTGCAGTTTTGGGAAAAATTACGGATCTATTGCACACTGTGACGCCTCTTTTGGGCGTCACATGTGACGCCCCATTGAGGCGTCTCACCCTAAGGGGAAGACGCCCAAATGGAGCGTCTCTCATGAGGTGTTGACACGTGTCACTTTTTTTTCCAAAAAAAAAAATTAATTTAATCATAAAACTTCTAAAGGCTATGACTTTTGACTCGAGTATCCAAACCAGGTAATTTTTTTTTTTGATTCCACATAACTTTTCGAGATCTACGCAATGACATCTCATTTGACATATTTTATTTCTCACAAACACAATTTTAATTTGCAAGAATGGTATTATAGTGGTTAAACCCAGAAGCTTGTGAGTTCTGGATTTGTGATTTAATATAAAAAATAAATAAAATTTTGATTTGTGATTTAATTTTTTTTATTATAACAAAAATTTGGTTTGTGATTTAAATTCAAAATAAAAATAAAAATTATTATTAATAAGGAAAACAAAATAAAGATTTGATTTGTGATTTAAACGAAAAAAATCAATTTGAAAAATATGTAGAAATAAAGGAAATAATTAAATAAATATTCTAAATTTCTAAGAAAGAAGGATATTATTTTTAAAATTAATGATTAATGTTATAAGCTTATGGGTTATTATTCGTGGTCTGAAATTAATGATGGTTTATGAATGTTTTTCAAAAATAAAATTATCTAAATTAGGCGTGATTGCCTCTTGATTGAAACCCAATTTAGACGTGATTTGTGATGTGTTAGGTTTTGACACGTGTTGACACGTGTCATATTTGTAAACTCAGAAGCCTCTGAGTTATGCTTTTATGATTTAATACAAAAAATAAATCAAGATTTGATGTGTGATTTAAATTAAAAAAATAAATTCTTTTATTTTTATTATAAAAAAATTTGGTTAGTGATTTAAATTAAAAGTAACAATTATTATTAATAAGGAAAACAAAATAAAGATTTGATTTGTGATTTAAACTCAAAAATCAATTTGAAAAATCTGTATTAATAAAGGAAATAATTAAATAAATATTCTAAATATCTAAAGAAAAAGGATTACCTGATTTAAATTTAAATTATGTTGGTGAGAAATAAAATATATCAAATGAGATGTCATTGCGTAGATCTCGAAAATTTATGTGGAATCAAAAAAAGAATTACCTGATTTGCATACTCGAGTCAAAAGTTATGACCTTTAAAAGTTTTATTATTAAATTAATTATTTTTTTTGAAAAAAAAAGTGACACGTGTCAACACCTCATGAGAGACGCTCCATTTGGGCGTCTTCCCCTTAGGGTGAGACGCCTCAATGTGACGCCAAAAGAGGCGTCACAGTGTGTAATAGATCCGTAATTTTTTCTAAAATTGCAATAAATGCGTAATTATTTAATTAAAAAACATTATTTTAATTTTTTTGCCTTATTGGGTCATGCGATTGAACAGGTGACCCACTAGTTGAAGCAGTGACCCAGTACCTCGACCGGGTCAATAACCGGATAGTGTTTAATAACTTTGATTATAGGATATTATGATATTTTTCTTTTTTAAGCCTAATTCAATCCTATATAATTATTCGGTTATTCCCATCATAGATGACACGACACCACGTTCTCACCAGATTTGGCTTATATATCTATATATATAGGAGAGATATTCTTAATACCAAAATTTTCTACTACCAACTTACTATCTATTTAATCACCATTGAATCAAAATTTTCTCTTTTTTCAAAATTTTTTAGCATTCTCTCTCTTTGATTCAATGGTGATTAGATAGGTAGTAAGTTAGTAGTAGAAAATTTTGGTAGTAAGTTAGTAGTAGAAAATTTTGGTAGTAAGAATATCTTTACTTTTATATATATATGTATATATATATATATATATATATATATATGGAAAATCACTTCTCATGTCACTACAGAATTGATTTCCTCCTGCCACACTCGCCAGCATTTTTCCTTTATTTTTATTTTATTTTTAAAAATTGGTGGGGTCCACCATATTTTTGTGTCAGCTGCAAACTCTCAAATTTTGTAGTCGTGGTCTCGTGGGAGAGTTGCAAAACACACACACAGATATATAATATATATAGGTAAAATTATTTCTGCAGTCGCTTTATGTACATCAACGATAAGTGTATGGTTATGATTTTTCACATTTAATGCTTTCATCTTTTGTATGGTTATGATTCTCCGCATTTAATATTTCACGTATATATATATATATGGCAAATATTTGATTGCTGCACGTACAGCAGCTTGTAGAAATGTAAACTATATATATATATATATATATATATATATATATATTGTAACAACCAAGTAGTGTTATTATCAATATTATTACTAATCAATTTCATCATTAGATCGATTATGTTGATCAACGGTTATATTTATTTCCATCTTTATATGGTTATGATTCTTCATGTTTAATATTTTATATTTATTTCTACCATACTGATACCTTTGTATTATTATGATTTCTCTTTCCCTATAAATATAGAGGAATCGTAACCATACTGAGATGAAAACAGAAAAAAGGAGGAGCGTGGCAATGGAGAGTGAGCTCCCCCATGATTTGATTCAAGAAATTCTGTTGAGGTTACCTGTGAAGTCTCTTGTTCGATTCAAGTGCGTGCGCAGATCATGGCATTCTCACATCTCTGATCCTCATTTTGCAAAATCCCATTACGAGCTCTCTGCCGCACCCTCTCACAGGCTTCTCCATATAACACTTTCTGGTACTAAAGCTCGATCCATCGATTTTGATTCATCGTTTCATGATGCCAAGGTAAGCTTCATCCCCCCACTTCTAAAGGGTCGTAAAGGTAAACTTGTGCCTACTCTTCGGATTTGGGGTTCGTGCCGAGGGTTTGTCCTTATAGAAAGATATCCAAATCTTTATATTTGGAACCCATTAACAGGTTTCCGCAGACACCTGTCGCACTGTGACATAGGGAAACAACATCACTATCCGGCGATAGTGCTCTTAATTGGTTTTGGGTATGATCCATCCACCGATGATTATTTGATAGTTGTGTTGTGGGGTAAGTTCCACACCATCTATGATCATGATGATATGCAAACCAGTTTGATGCTTTTCTCCTTCAGAACCAATTCATGGAAAGAAATTCAGGGCTTACATGTTCCCTCTTATTATGTTAAAAAGCAACCATTCGTCTTTAATGATGCTATTCATTGGTTGGCTTTATCTGAAAATAAATCAGATGCAGTAATTCTTGCCTTTGATTTTGTAAAAAAGAATTTCTACGAGATATCTCTACCAGATGGTGATTTCACCGATAGCTTGTATTTTTATAATTTGGTAAAGATGGGAGAATGTCTCGGTTTATGTAATCTCAGCGATAGTAAAACTGTGTGGGTGATGAAAGAATATAAAGTGAAATCATCTTGGACTATGTTCGAGATTCCTGATTACCTTTCCGATGTAAGAATCGCCATAGCTGGTGAACTTGTTGTACTATACCATGCTAGTGTTGCTGAATTGATGAAATTTAATGACAAAGGAGAACTGCTAGAACAATGCAAATATTATTGTAATGACATGTGTGGATACAGAATAGCAACGTATACGGAGAGTCTACTTTCACTCCCTAGGAACTCTGATGGAAGCACGGAAACACCTCAACGGAAGCCGTTCAAAAGAAATAGGAATATGCATAAATGGCTGTAATTTCATCCATTTCTTTACGGTTATTTACCTACTTCGTAGCTTAATTATGGAAACATGGTTTGTTTTACTTGTTCTTATTATTGATTTTATTTTCACGGGCTTGCTGGTCAAGTTATTGTAACATCATGTTTTCTTCAACATAACAGTTGATCTACTGTAGCATCATATGTTTATTTTATAGTTTAGTTTTGCCGTCCAATTTTTATAAGTTGACCAGCATCATAGCATGCGGAAAGAAATATGTGGTCTGAGAAAAGAAACAAGCTTTGAAAATTTAAGATGGCAAAATTGCTTTTCTTTGTAAGTAGACATATTTTACATTGTCACGTTATATATCAGTATGCCACTTCTGTTTAAGCTAGAACTTTTTTTGAAGCTAGAAACAACAATTTGTAAACAAACAACTGCACCCCAGTGACAATCGGTTTTGTTAATGAAAAACAAAGAAAACAAATTTCGAGTCCATCAAATGATTGTTCTCAAAACCTCTTTAGTAGTAGGAGTTGATGCCCCGGTGGATTATGATGTAATATATTCGCCTAGCTAGAATAGCATATATCATCTGCTGTTATGCAGTAACTAAATTTTAAATTGTAGATATTCTGGTTGAATCATGAACGTATTCAACTTCAAGATCAAATGTCAATTTTGGATGTTACAATATGCATACTAAATCACTAGATATTTCTTTTGTTCAGGCTCTTGTTCCGCTATAGGCATCCTAAGTAAATTTCAATGGAAGCTGTTTATGAAAAATAACTAAAAAATGTTATATAAGACTCCTTAGTTCTTACAATGTAATGGATATAATCAACTCTTATCTTCGTCCGAAAAAATCCCGACTATGGGCCAAAATATTTTTCGAAAGATGATCCGTTGCAAATAAGTGCTTTAATAATTTTTAGAGGATAAATTTTTCAGTAATTAATTTAATTTTTTTTTTAAACAAAATTCACTAAAAAAACATCTCCACATGATTTTGTGTTGAACTATCATCCGATTGTTGCAAAATTCATTATAATATGTGGCCAAGGCTTTATATTTTCGGTCTCTGGTTTATATATTTTTTTGCCATTGTTTTTCTTATTAACTGGACAGCTTCCCCCTTTCTTGGTAATCAATTTCCATATGAACCTTTATTTCTTAAGCCAAATGTCTTTTCAAAGTTTAGGGTTTTTGGATGCTTGGCCTTTGCCTCCACTCTTTTAGGCATGTGTTTTTTTGGGGTATCGAGCTGGTATGAAAGCTTACAACCTCTATGACATTCAATATGGACAATTTTTCACTTTAGAAATGTTGTATTGCATAAAGCTCTTTTCCCCTTTCACTCTACGATGATTTCGGTACCTCCACTAGAAATTTTTCATGATTTAGTAGTGCCACATCACTCGCTGACAACAATTAATTGCTCGACTAAGAACATACTCTTCCTATAATAGAGAGCTCTCCGACTTTAGAATCCTCCTCCTCATCTCTTGATCTATAAAAATATTATTGCAACCTTCTCTCACACGAAAGAACCACATTGCCACAACCACAAGAACCACATGCTTGTTTTTGCATCTTTTTGGGTGATGCAATGATCTCTTCTAAAGCCAAAAAGCAAAGCATGACCACTACTGCCTCTGAAAGAACAAAACATATTCAAATTAATTACCATTTCGTCAGGGACCAAGTGTCTGCAGGATTGCTTAAATTGATGTCGATCCCAAAACAACACCAACTTGTACATGTTCACTAACCCTTTAGCTTTTCCTTCTTTACACTTGTTGCTATTCTAGATGGATGATAAGAATGAACTATCTCACTTCAAGGGGAGAATTCCTCCTTAACCAAAATGGTTCTGGAAAATACTTTTTGTTCCTTTTGATAGAGAAATTACAGTCTTATATAGTCATACTCTCCCTCCTAAAACAGAAAAATGCTCACAAGGCAAATACACATTTTGCATCACACACTCACACAACAGAATCTAACAATAAAATCCTATCACCTATCAATTATAACAACCATATAAGCTATAACAACCTTTCAAGTCACTCCCTGATTTCTCTCACTTGTCTAACAATATACTAATTAGCCATATGTATCATTCCATACCCCATAACAAACACCTTGTCCTCAAGGTGGATAGGTAGACTTGCCAAAACTCAATCCAACTTTTGCCATTATGCCCCGTGACATGATCCACAATGATGATTAGAAAGCTGCTTAAGAAGCTTCCCACCCCAATAACACTATGATATAAAGCCATTCCCAAGCTTCTCATGGAGTCAGGAACTTGGTCATAGTCTTTTGGCAAAATTATTCTTGCAAACCTACTAGAGAAAATGAATCTCCAAAGCCAATAACTAAGTACCGGGTATCAACACACTCATAGTCTTTTGCACTATTTCCCCTGCTATATAGATTTCATGTGCAGCCATTCTTAGTCTTTTTGCTACTACTAAGGCCGCAACAACCATAACTATGATTGAGAATGTCAAGCCAATGCCAATCCTTTGAAGGATGTTGATGCCTCTTTCAGTACCAGTGACTTTCCTCAGACTTTGAGCAATAATCTTGTCATATATTGAGACAAATATTAAGGCACCAATAGCTACAACAGAGGTAATGGAAGTTGGTGGGATGCTGAAACTATCGCTGACCTTTAAGTTCATAGAAAGTGCTTGTCTAACAAAAAGTGTTGAGCCTTGTGCTACACATACTCCAGTTGCTAATGAAGTTAGCCATATGGAAACTATATGCAGAATAAGCTTTGTCTCTTCCACTCTTGTGAGTGTTGCAAATCTCCATGGATTGCCTTTCTGCTCAATATATTTTTCTTCAATAATTGCAACTTTGTCAAGAAACCAGAGCCTGCTAGTATGTCTTAGAAGTCTTCCTTGGGACTTCTCTAACTTTGGGACTTCATATAGTAAAGCATAATTTGAAGGACAAGATAAATTCCTTTTCCTTATTATGGCTGCAATCAGAACTTGAAAAATGGATGTTAAAGGGCATCCTTTTGGCTTCCGGTATCTATAAAAAAAATTCCCCACATAGAAAGCCATGAGAAAGAGAGCCCTAAGAGTAGTGAGGATATGACTAGCAGCCCCCCAGTCGTGAAAGTCTTGAACATAAACAACCATTGTTGCACTACGCAGTAATGCAAAGCAAAGTGCAAAGTTCCACCAGTTGAAGAAAGACATCTTCTTCCTTTCTTCCATGTGATCATCAGCAAATGGATCAGCTTCAACGTTTTGCAAGCATGGTTTGTATCCTCCCGTGCCCAACCAAATGCAATAAAGGGCAAAGAAGAAAACCATTTCATAAACCTTCCTAGGCCGTTGACATATACTAGTGTTGCATGGCTTTAGACTTGAGATGAAATGAGACATAGTCAACAAGCTTAATCCTATCAGGTATACAGAAGAATCTGGGCTTGGCTTGCAAAGCCCATGCAATAGCCTATTAAAAGAAGTAATAATAGGACACAAACACCATTTAAGCATTTCATCAAACAAATCAGGTGCCTTAACTTGGTGGTCACATGCAAGGAAGACATCAATAATGGTGCAAAATGACACAATATTGGAATCACACCCCATCTTCGGTATCACAACAGAAAGTGAAAGAAGATCAGAATGCACCTGGGTTCCTTGTTGTTGCCTTCGTATAGAATGCACCGAATTGACGAAATGAGGCAATATTGTCTTTAACAAACACATTTCTTTGGTGATAATGTGTGCCATAAATGCAAATCTATGTTCCATTATTTGTATATCTCCAACACCCGCATCTAAGACCGTGAGCACGAGGTTAGCCTTTGAAGACCGATTGTGAAGGACATGACAGAGGTCGAAATTTGAAAGCACCCAAGGTGGATCTGCTGGAGGTGGGCGCGCAACTTTGAGATCGGGACGATCACCGAAGTGCACATCAAACCTACCCAAGCTGAGGAGAACAAGTGGTATTTCGAAGATGAAATGGGTTAACGAAGATTTGAATTCGTCCGCAAAGGGGCTGGATGAGTATTCGTCACATGCAACAATACGCATAATGGTTCCATCAGAGTGCTTTGGAAAATCCACTACCTCTTGATGCTCTGGATCCGCCATCAGCAGTCGATTTTCTTCCGATTGTTGAATCAATTTTGCCGAGACTTCCAACGACTCAGGAGTTGTGGAGATAGCTTCAGATTTCGTCTCGCCCAAATTAATTTCATTTTTTGTAACATCCTGTTGCGATGAATATTTGCGGAAGGCCTTCTGAATCTTGATAGCAGCTTGTTCTTTACGTTCATGGATCAAGTTCTGGAGCATGTGTATAACGTTCTCGCATGTGGAGTTCATTGCTGCAAAACTAGATTTCATCTCCTCAAAAATAGATTGAACGGATTGCTGCTGAGTATCGTTGATGGGGGTTGAGATGGAGGATGAAAACATGGTGAAAAGAAGAAAGTTCAACTCTCAATGAAAGCGCCAATTGATAAGAATGAACTATCTCACTTCGAGGGGAGAATTCCTCCTTAACCAAAATGGTTCTGGAAAATACTTTTTGTTCCTTTTGATAGAGAAATTACAGTCTTATATAGTCATACTCTCCCTCCTAAAACAGAAAAATGCTCACAAGGGAAATACACATTTTGCATCACACACTCACACAACAGAATCTAACAATAAAATCCTATCACCTATCAATTATAACAACCATATAAGCTATAACAACCATATAAGCTATAACAACCTTTCAAGTCACTCCCTAATTTCTCTCACTCGTCTAACAATATACTAATTAGCCATATGTATCAACGGAAGTGAAAGATATTCACTCTGCATCTTGGAGGGGAGTTTCATAGAGTTAGTTTTACTTTTAACTCTAGTTAATTTACTATAACCATAGTTAGTTTAATGGTTATCAGTTTATGTTGTCAGTTAAGTTTGTTTTTTGAATGTTGAGTTCTGTCCTCGCTCGTGACTTTTTCCTCCTCTCTCCTACTTTACTCTCTTCTCTCATGCAAGAAAAAGTAATTTTGACCAAAATATAAAGCGAATGTCAATTGTCACAGCAGTCAATCATTAGAATCTAATTCACATACATTTTGCAAGTACCGACTGAATATACATCCTCTTGATTCA